AAAGAAAAAAAATAAAAAGAACATATGATATTAAAAAGAAATTATGTAAATTAAAGACATTAAAAGATGATAAGAGGATTTTAGGTGTTTATGAAGAAAATAGAATAGAAGATTTTTTAGGATTAATTACATCTATTGCATTAAGAAATAATGATAAGATTGTCAAAATTCATTCAAGGAAGGTTTATACTATACTTAAATCTTTTGAAGTACTAAAAGTAATTATTGAGATAAAATATAAAATAATAGATAAGAAGGTAAAATTTATTACCTGTCTTTTATCAAAAGTTTCTATATAACAAATGAAAGAAGTATCAAAGAAAGGAAATTTAAGAGATCCAAAGAATATTAGACATCAATTTATAAAAGAGACTTTTGAAGAATTGAAGATTAGATGTGATGGTTCTTTATTACTAGTAGAAATTGAATGTTTTAAAGAAATGCTTACAAAATGAGATAAATTATTTGCCTTTGGATCTCATGAAATAAAATGTGTAGATCCTAATATTTTTATTTTTATAATTATCTTCACAATACCATATGTGTTTTAGAACTTAAGGCTAATTCTCATGCCAATGACACATTTATCTAAATTGGTGGACTTATTAAAAGAAAAGATGCAAATGAAGATTTTGGAGCCTTCTTTTGCTCCATATTTTAGTCATTAGTTTATAATACCTAAGAAAAATGGATCATTGTGTTTTATCAAAGATATGTAACTAGTGAATGTAGTAACTATTAAAAATACAGGTATAGGACCTTTAATAAATGAGTTTGCAAAAATATTTATGGAGAAGTTCATTTATTCAATATGTGATTTATATTTGGACTATGATCAATTTCAACTTGTATATAGAAGTAGATATTTAGTAACAATAAAAATACCACTTAGACTACTTAAAATGTGTATTATTATGCAAGGTGCGACTAATTCAATTGCATATATGATAAATGGAATAAAAAAGATATTGAGAGACTTCATTTCTGAAAAAAGTATGTCTTTTTTAGATGATGTTCCTATCAAAGGATGTAAAGAAGGAGAAAAAGATAAAACTTTCGATAAGAGGGGGTATTGCAATCATATTGTTGATTATATACAAGATTATAAAAAGATTTTTACTTGACTTGAAGAAGTTCATCTTATACTTTGAGAAGCAAAATCTACATTTAGAATATATGAAGTTATTATTATTAGATATTTTTGTAGATTTTATGAGAAAAAATTGAATCCAAGTAAAGTTGATGTAATTAAAAGGATGAAGAATATATATAATTCTTTAACAAAAGTACGTAGGTTTTTAGGGACTTACATGTATTGTTATATATAGTTTCCTCATTATGCTTATATAGCACATCTATTATATGAATTATTACACAAGGATTGTCAATTTGAATGGAAAAGAAAGCATATTGAAGCAATGCAAAAGCTAAAAGTATTATTGTTGGTACCTCTAATTTTAAGAAGAATTAATTATGAATATAATAGACAAGTAATACTTACTATAGATATTAATCCTATTACTATTGAGTGGACTGTGGATCAAGATGATTCAAGTTGGAACAAATTTGTATTTCAATTTAGACCTAAAGTTTTAATTACTCATCAGCATGTATATTTTCAAGTCAAAAGAGAATTATAGGGAGTTATTTCAACTATGAAAGTTGAAAAAGATTATTTGATCGGAATAATGGTAGTAATTGAAACAAATTACTTACCATTACTTAGAATGATTACTAATTGTTCAATACTAGATATTATAATATTAAAATAGATTGTTGATATCAAATCATTGAATCTAAAATTTAAGCATGTTGCTAAAAAGATAATTTGGTGGCAAACATATTGTCTCAAGTAAGATATAAAAGAGAAGACGAGATGATTGAAGATATTCATGATGTTGGATCAAAATTCTATTTAATATCAAATGTTAACAAGGAAAACAAGTTATTTTTTTAAGAGCTTTATGAAAGAGAGTTATTGGATATTAGTCATTATTTAAATACCTTGATTAAAAAAATATTCTATAAAAAAATTTAAACAAATAAGAAAAAAGACATATGAGCTTTTGCTTTAAGAAGGATTTTTATACAAGAGATCCAAAAAAGAAAGGATTGGAATGCCACAATAAGTGATAGGCAATAAAAAAAAAAAAAAAAAAAAAAAAAAAACAACAACAACAACAACAACAACAACAACAAAAATTATTAAAAGAATTTCATGATAGTTTATAGGCATGGCTAAGAAAAATTTGGACTACTTTTGCTAAACTTAAAGAGAAATATTGGTAGAAAAATATGTATCAAGATGTGCTTTTATCATTAACTACTGCTTATAATCTTGAAGAAAATGTAAAAAAATAAATATAGTCATCCATCAATTATAAAAGCATTAATTAAAGCTTGTAATGGAAAGATTAGAAAATAGCCACAACTTTTGTCATTTGTATTATAGGTTGATAGAATAACTCACAGTTCAATAATGGGATATATGCCTATTAAGCTCATGACAAGTCAAAAACCTATTATGCCAATTGAAGAAAAGGTACCTACTCAGAGTGTGCTGCGATAGAAAGATGAATTAATAAGAAAGGAACTTTTAGCTATTAAAATTCAATAACTTAAGCAAAGACCAAAAGATGTACAAATAGCATTAGAAAGATTAAAAATGATAAGGTTGCAAAACAAGGCATGATTTGATAAGCAACATCAATTGAGACCTAAAGTAATTCAAGAAGGTGATTGAATATTACTCTATGATAACAACTTGAACAATCAACATAGTTTTTTAAGAAAGTTTTTTAAACAATGATATGGACCATATATAGTAATAATTATACATGATAATGGAAATTATTTGTTATAAGAATTAGATAGAACAAGGTTAAAATACCAATTGCAAGGAAGTGAGTGAAGATATTGAAACAAAGACAAATGAAATAAATATAGAAGACCTTTTTGATGACATAAATCTTCTAAGAAAAGAAGATAAATTTGACTTACATAGCAAAAATAATGACGACGATTTGGATGAAGGCGTGGAGAACATAATATGAATCAAACAAATTGTGGATTATTTGGTGCATACCAAAGGATGCACAAGTTTATAGGAGGTAGATGTCATATAGTAATACATCTATATGGTGAAAAATAAAAACATAAATATTTTTATAGAAGAGCCTAATAGAAAGATGTGGTAGGAAAATAAGAATAAATAATAGAAAGATAATAAAAGATTTAGTCTTAATACTATTCTTTAGAGAATGGACTTCTATTTGCTTTGTATAGGCATAAATGCCTCAAATCAAAGTAAATAAGATAACTAATTAATATGGACATGTTTAAAAGGAATTTATCAATAGATTCAAGTTAAAATTATCTCAAATTACTAAATATTGATACCCAAAGAAGACTAGTTATCAACCTGAAATATAATCAAATTCCTAAGTACAAAATTCCATACCTATAGCAATTCTAGGGTTTTTTGATAGATCAAAGATTAAAATTTGAAGGAAAACTTATAAAGAAATATTTTAGAATTGATTTTATGTCAATTGAGTTAATATTTAATTTTTGGGAGATTTTCAAAATTAATAATGTTTTTGGTTGGACTAGATTTTAAAAAATAAAATTATATTTACAAAATTTAGGATATCTTGAGTTTTGTGGTATGTATATGGATGAATTTTGGACAATGTGTTGGTGTTTTAGTTTTTAGTATGTACGAAAATTTTGAGATCAATCAAACAATTAGATCAAAGTGTATGAAGGTTTTTGTAGGTTGAGGTATCAAAATTTGGAATTTAAAGGTCACTAAATATTTTTAAGTTTTTTAATAATTTATTGATTAGATTGAAATTAATCTTTTTTGTATAGAGACTAGACTTGATTTTTAAAAATTTAGGTATATTTTGGAGGCAATTCAATGGTTCAAGAAGAAAATATTGGCACTAGAAGTTCAACATTTAAATTGGAGCAGGAGGCCGACCAACACGCAAGCAAAATTTAGGTTTAATCTTCTATTTGGTAAGTTCAATCTTTTTCGAATTTTGTGTGCTTCTTGCTAACTTAGTTTTTGAGAGGTTTGTAAAATCTTAAGCAAGATCAATACTATAAACAATAGATATTGAGGTTCTAAACTATCCTAGAATTAGATTAATTTGATTAAGATTTGATTTAGAATTTAGGAATTGGTTAGGATTTAGGATTTGTTTAGGATTTAGGATTGTTTAGGATTTAGTTAGGATTTGATTTAGAATTTAAGTAAGAAATATTAGGATTTAACTATGATTAAATTAAGATTTGGTTGAAATCTATTTAAAATATATTTAAGATTTTATTCTAATACTTCTTTTGAATTTCTTTAGGATTTCTTCATGCTTCTTTTATAATTTCTTTGAGGTTTCTTTGAAATTGATTAAGCTTAATTAGCATTATTAATGTTTAATTGGAGTCATTTAAGATTCTATTAAAAATAAAATCTTATTATTGCAATACTCCATCTACCTTCCACACCCAAGTTCTCGGTGCATTTTCAAGCATTTTCAAGCAAGGCTTTATATAATACAACAGCGTCAAATCCCAACTCACGACATCTAGAGACAATAAGAAAACAAAGCCCTAGGTGCAGTGCCACTTGTCCACATTGCCAGCCCAATCTAAGTCGTTGTATCAAACAATGGGCACAAAACAATGATATGGCAGCCGTACTCTATACAAAAATCCAAAGTCCTTCACAGGTAGCAGAAACAATGCTTACTAGCTACTATGTGTGAAGCCCCTAGGTTGTATATGAACTAGGTCAGAATGCTCACTGCAAAGGCTATGTCTGGGCGGGTGCAAATGTTTGGCCCAATTACAACTAATCGAGTGTGAGGTGTGCAAACGTCATACCCGTCCATGAGGCACAACCCTTGAAGTTGTGCTCTCCCTGACAGTACAAAGAAAAATGAATAACAGAAAATAATAGTAAGAAAAATAATTACTTTCAAATACTGAACTTATACCCTAACACTAGAAGTACTTAAAGTTCCAATATTCCGTAATTGAGCTTCTAGTATAATTCTGTTTTTGTTTGATCGAACCGACGACGACGACAAACTTACTCCTTTGACATTCGCTGAGATGTCGGGTGGTTTATTGTACTCAGGTGCCCGTGTCTTCGTTGTCTGTCTTTCGAATGTGAATAGTGAGAGTCGCTGGGGATTCAAGTGTCGCTTCGGTTGCTGGTTCGGCTTGCTTGTTGGTATTGTTCTAGGCGATTGGTTGTGCCTTTGTAACCAAAAACTTCTCAGTTTGAATGCGCATTTCATTGTCTCGTGAGATTTATGTCGTCTTGGTCATGTTTATATTTCGGAGTGTACTTGTAAATCTTGGGGATACTGTGACACTTCTTTGGGACAGCAGCTTGTGAAAGAGTAGCGTGGTGGAGATGGCAATGTAGGTCTAGTCTCCTCAGGGATTCAATTTTGTGGTATTCAATAGTAGACGCTATTATTGTGGCCACGTTCGTAGCCTACCCATCGATTAACCAAGCTGGTTCTGATGTTGTCTGCCTTTGCCTTGATGGTTGATTACTCGAAGTCATTTGCCATAAATGAGCCCGCATTTCTGCGATGTAGCTCTCTTTTTGGAATCAGCTAGCTCCGAGGTTCTCATCAAACTAGCCAGGGCCTTCAATAATCGGTTTCAAAGCACTTTCTGGAAGAATTTGACTGCTCTCTTGCATCACATCCTCATTATGCTTCTGTTACGCATTGGTTTATGCAGAGAATCAGCTTTTGAAATGGCTGTGAAGGTGTTGAACTACGAGGGCCGTAGCTACAAACTTTCCCTGAAGAGGGAATGTAGTGATTGTGATTAGCAAACAGCATACCATGGAGCCAACCAGTTTTCTGGATCTGGACCTTACTGCTTACCCTCCACCGATTGAGTTTGTTTGACCCGGGTGCAGCGACACAGCCATGGCTTCGTCCACAGTGATGAAGGCCAACAACATTGCGATGATTTCGTTTTCTGCCACGGCAGAGCCCATCTTAGCGGAAAGAAGTCAGTTCGACAACTTGTTTTGTACAGCGTATACTTCGCTCCTCTTTCTTTTGTATTGCACTCAATCTCTCGGAGTCTGGTGTACGAGATAGCCAATGGTTCTCTTCAGAAAGACAGATCTTTCGGGGGATACTCTTTTGTATACCCTACGTGACCTTATCCCACCGTGTATGGAGGTTCAACTGTATAACTGGAAAAGTAAAGTAGAATTTTCAAAGAAATTTTTCTGTTTTGCATCCCCATAAAATTACAGGTACAGCAGCAAGCATCAACCGCAGGTGCTTGCTCCTGGTGTAAGTGCTTCAGGCTCTTTCACGCATGTGTCATAGAGTTATCGTCACATATGATAAAGTATATCTGATGTACGCCTTGGTTTCTCTTACAGCTGAAGCATAACGGACACCGGCAATCTTCGTATCTGAATGAGGGATGTCACGTGTTAGTCATTCATGCATGTCTTCTACTGTTTTCCTCGTGTTCTTCGCATGAATCTTTTAACCTGACGGCAAATAGGTCTTTTAGAGTTTTCGGTACTGACGGTGTTGCCACTCTCCAGGATTTCTCATCATTTCAGGGTGGATACAGATAGTAACGCTGATTGTGACTGCTGTCACTTCTTTGCACACCAAGCATTACTACTCTATGAGCCTTACGCAAAACATCAATTGGGTCGATCCATTCACAAAGTGGTGTTTTTGCCGAATTGATATACCAAAAGTGGTTTTTTTGCCGAATTGTTTTTGATTTCGGTGAAATACCAGCGTGAGATGTGTTCGAAGTCCATGCTGGTGGCTCTCCAGGCTATAACGGGAGCAGTTTTAGTTCACGTTGTGATTCTTGAAAATGGGGAGCACTCAAGTATAGAATTTGTTTAGCTCAAGTCCGTATTCGATAAGCATGATCCCAACACTTGTGTGATCCTAGTTACGCACCCTCAGGATAAACATGATACCCCTGAAGCCCCAAATTAGCAGGTGTGTTAGCTATTCTATCTTCTTCAGATCGGTGCCGGCGAAGTGCACTATTGTACAAGAGAATACAGGGTTAATTGAGAAGTGGTGCCTTGAAATCGTAGACAATACAGTCAACGTCGCGAATTCGACAATTTTCTCATCGGAGACCATTGCCTTCCAGAAGAGATGAACTTTTGCCATGATTCTGAGGTATAGGTTAGGCTGGATTACCCCTGGTCTTACTTTGGCATTGATGAAGTTACAGCTCTCCACCCTGAATACGCAAGGTTGTCCGAGTACCGCCTTTGCTTCCTTACTTCATTTCAATAAGCTTTCCTCCTGACAATCTGTAATCGACATTGCTTTGACCTAACCATGACATTTATCTAGAAGTGTACCTGCAAGGCAGCTCACGTGCAAGGGTTGGATCTATTTTGTATTCTAATGTTACACCATGAATGCACGTATTGCGAATGGTAGGGGTAATGGTGGTGTGAGTCTCTGCTCATTGTTGATGCCTTGCAGATTCTGCCCTATATAGAACTTGCACTTGTGCAAAATCTTTTGGGAAAGATTGGAAACACACCTTACGGTATGGATTTGTTGCGACCTTGCCTCTCAATGTTCACCACTGGCAGGCAGAGGCTCTCTGCTTATTTCTCCTGATTCTAAATAATAACCTTTTATCATGCTCAACATATTAATGGTTCCGGTTAGGATCAATGTCGTGATAGTAAGGCTTTTAGCTTCTTCTCAAGCTTGCATGCGGCGATTACTCCAACACACCTGTGTGTTTGTAGTACTGGACCTACTGGGATCAGGCAGGTTACCCAGGCCTGTCTGTGTCAGGGATCTCCAAGTCACGGTCATATACCCCCTTATCTCATTGAGACTGTCCGTCTGTATTTTTGATATCTGTGACGAATCAGTTCTCAACAATCAAACCATCACAAATCTGAACGTATGGAATGTCCTGAAGAAGACCCTTCCACCGTTTCAAGGATGCACCGGGTGGGTTCTCATCAATCTAGCAATGGATAGTCGAAACACTCTTGCTCTACCCTCTGTCTACGACCTTGTCTCACTGACCCTGGATGACTGGGAGGTACTTTCCAGGATTGAATTTCGGTTGGCAAGTTATTGTTGTTCATGTTCTGTAGGCTCCCCCATCACCTTGTATTAACCAAATGGTCAGAACCCTGCCGTTGAGGTGGAGTCGTATGTTGTTGGTTTGTGGATGTCCATGTGTATGTTAATTTCTCTGTAGCATTTGATGACATTGATTTGTGCTAATCCAAATGTCGACACTTGGATTTGCACTGAATATTCGCAGCCAAAAGAGAGAGTACAAGACAACAAGTTCATTTTGCTACAACCCTTGCAGAGACGTGTTGGAAACGTCTATTCTGTGATGAATGTTACTTATGCCGCATTCAGAAGTTTGAGTTCGTTTGTAAGAATTGTAGAATTTCGAATCAACCAATGACACTGACTGCAGTACGCAACTGGTGGAGAACCTGAAAAGAAAACTCGATATCAAGAGTTATAATTGGAACAATCTTTGGAGTACCTCTACTATCAGCTCTTACTGAAGAGTTTGTCCTGTTGGCAAGAGAAGCAGGACAATTACTCCAACCCAACGTCCTTTCGTCCGAGCAATGCATTAAGGCAATTCCACAGTGGCATACTTGTAAACTATTGTAACATTGTGTCTCCTATTAATCGGTACGAGACAGCAAGGTCCACGGATCAGAATTCAAGTTCTTCTCTCCACTTGAACCATTCACCAAATCGATGATGATCCCCTCCCTGGCGTGCAACTTGGCACATGCTGTAAAGAATTCTACCGGCGTTGAAGCAGCACCCACTGACCACCTTCTCAGCAAAATCCACCAGTCATCACGATACGTGCATGTCACGTCGATCTCCATTTACTGATCTCATTTGGTCTACGATCACACAGTGGCTGCTTTCACTGGATCACTCAGGGTAAAAGACGACTCTGTTGGACGTGTGCATAGAATTCCAGAGCCGGAAACGATGGCTCTGAGTTTGCCGGTCGCGCTGCGGAGCCACGTCGGGCCTGACGCCGTGCTGGGTCGCAAAAGCTGTCATAGCCACGACAATTGCGCTTCTTCTTCTTCTTCTTCTTCTTCAACTTCCCCTTTTCGCATAGTTTCAAGCCGTGAATCGTCATCCGCCCCCTGTGAGACACCGTTTTCGTAATCAAATCCGCATTCTCGTGAACCGATTCACGCAACAACGCTGCTGCATCGACGCTGCATCGGGAACTCCGTGGTCCGGAAGGGCGGGTTTGAATGCCCAAGGCAGATCATGGCTGGCAGCTCCAGTCAGGGATGCTTCTCGTTACTTTCTCGAAAAAGGAATTTGTCGAAAGCGCTTTAAAGTAACTTTCGAATGCAGTAAAAAGTCAGGACTTCATTTTACCGTCAATGGCTTGGTTGCTTTTTAAAGTAAATTTATTTTATTTGCTGTAAATTGTTGCCAAATCTTACATTAACACGTTGAAATTATAATCTTTTCAATGAAAATTATCAAGATTACAATCTAGTTTGTGATCCTTATGTCTATTGTTTCTACTCTATAGTTTAATTCTATATATTAACAATATAGCTAAATTCAAGTATTCAAATTTCCAATTTTGGAACCACAAATTATTGGATTCTAACACAACTGTCTGTGTGAATGATATAAAATTTACGCATCAAGTACATTGTTTCTTATTTCAAAATACTTTTCATTACATGATTAAATCTGTTTCCTTTAAAATAAATGAAAAATAAATCCTAGCTGCTAAATTTTTACTTATAACAGATATATTTTAAGAATCAATAGTATTGAGGTAAAATATGTCACCAGATGATATTGTGAATTGTTATATCTATTATCATTGTCATACATATTATTTCAAACAATTTGTTCACCATTATGCTTTTACCATTCTTTTTACAAACTGCAATCATTTTTCCTTAAATCCATTCAAACAACCATACTTATTCATAACAATAGATAAACACTCAATTCAAAATACATTTAAATTTTATATTTATCCAAAAAAAAGCTGTGAAATGCTTCTTCAAGCAGAACAAATAACAATGTTGTTTTTTAGAACATTACTATGTTTTATTGAACAATAGAAAAATTGCACTTGTATTATCAAGTGTACTCTTCAAATTTATCTAAAAATATAAATTGGGACCATAACAACCACATAACAACATTCCATTGCAATACATTATTATATTTGTTCTTATTTGTAGACAGTGCAAGAGAGTGCAGAAGAAAAGATGCCCATAAGTCTCTATTGCCCACAACTTACATTTTATACTACTAATGTGTTTTGTTAAGATATAGGATTCCATGATTCTTTTTAATTTCTCCTTTCTCTCCCCCCCCCCTTTTTTTTTTTTTTTTTTTTCCTTTTTTTCTTTCTTCCTTGTATTCATAATGAATGTGATGGGCATGGACCTGTAAGTAGAATATTAATAAGTTATGTATTTGCAGGCCGGTTTTTATTTTGAACTTGCATTGTTGTACAGGATATTTTTGAGAATACTTGTTTTAGATGATTCTAAGTTTTAAATGAAATCCATATTGGTTGTTATGTGCAAAATACATACCATTAATGGTTTAAACTTTTAATTAGCTGCTGATAAAGGCAATAAATTGATTACTTGTTAATACAAAATTGTCCAGTCATTAGACTATCTACTAAAAAATAATAATACTAATAATTTTAAATTTTCAAAATATAAATATTTACAGATTTTCAAAAAAAAAATTTCAAACTTCAAATTCAATATTCAAAAAAAAAAAAAAAAAAAAAAAAAAAAAAAAAAAACATGGTTACTAAGTGTTCCTATTAGCTTTTTATTTTATATTTTGTATTTTTAATACTTTGTTTAGTTCGATCTTTTTAAGAGTTTTGAGAACTATTGTAACTAAGAGATATTGTTGCTAGAATACTTCATATACTACATCTGACTTCTACCACAACAAAGAAAACTTCATTAACTTGTTGTGAGAAACCTTAAAAAATCATATCCAGAGTGGCATTAAAAAGTTATTTTTTCAAAAATTAATGTTATGTTTAAAAAATGAGAATTCAATTTTAAATTGTACTTTGATTTATTATTTTTTGCATTATTTAAACACATTGCATCTATTATTGTCGTATCTATCAAAAGTAAAATGCAAGTTCTGTTAGATATGCATAATTTCGTTTACTCATTGTTAAGAATAAACACACATTGTGTTGTTTGGAATGCTTTGATGAGTTTTACAATATATATATATATATATATATATATATATATATACTACTCTTTGTGAGCCTTGTAGTTTATGAATTCTCTTATAAATCAAATAGATTAATTCATAACTATAACA